CCTAAGCAGAGAGAAATCAAAAAAGCAGAAAGTTTGGCTACATCATCTAGTCCAGCTGCTTCTGGTACAGAAACATGCTTTGTCTGGACAAGTTTTACTGACCCGAGTCTCTGGCTTCTGTCTCTTGCCTGGGGATGTTTTTGTGGCATAGCTGTTCCTCCTCTTTCCCCTACTAGTGCGTTTTTGGTGTCAGTCTCCTTTCTCCTCCTCCTTGGCACGTGAGAGATTTCAGAGAAGACTGTCAGTAGTTATTTCTTTTTGTTGCTGAGGGAAGGAGGTGAAGGAAGGCAATGTCATTTTGGAGACAGGGAAACAGAGAGACGGCAGGAGGGGAAGAAGTGTGAACATTGCACCTTGCCCTGTTATTTCTGGACTCTGTGTGCTAAAATAACCTCTTTCTGCTAGCAGGCAAATACTGATACACCTGCATTTGCCAAAAGTTCCTCCCCCAAACCCCTGTGTGCAAAAACTGCTCAGATACACTATAATTTTGATGCTCTAATAGCTGCAACTTTTCCTAAAAGACATAGATTTTGTTTAAAATTAGCTCCTTGTCACTGCAAGGACAAGCTCTTTGTATATAATCCATGTCTTTTTTTCTCTCAGTGCCATGTTGTATCACAGTCTGAAACAAAAATGATCTATTTTTGTTCTTATTCTTTTGTATATCTAGGATAGTGTAAAATAAGCTGTTCAGTTTTATTTGTAATGCGAAGACATTAAAGAGGGGTGTGTGTGTGTGGGGGGGGTTAAATAATCCTGTATTTCTCTCATCTAAAACCATGCGGTACATGAATGGAAAGTCAGTTGCTCACAAATCCATTGCTGTGTAGTCTTTTACATAAACAAAGTCATAAGGATAAGCAAATGCCTTCCTTCTAATTAGCAGTGTGTTTTGTGGTTCCATACATTCCAAAGTGTAATAGACAGCTATGCTGCCTAAAATAATCCAAGAGAAAAAAGTTGTATGCCACAAAGATAGGGGTGGGAAGGAGAGGAGGCAGTTAAATCTGTTGTCTGTGTTCTTGGAAGCCTTTTCTATCTCCATTTGGATACTGTCAGCTTCTCTTACACAAACATTACAGCATCCAAGGGGAATTAAAAATACTTACCCATGACCACAACATCAGATCTTAGGTTTGTCAGGAGAAAGCAATGCAAAAGCAGGGTCTTGGACCCACTGTTTTCATTTTGGTTTTAGCATGCTGATAAATGCCTGCTAATGTTGGAAAGAGGTAAGGCTGGCTGTCTAGGTGGAATACAGGAGATTTAAAAATCTTATCTCATAGACGTGAAATGGTTTTTGAATCTGTAGAAGTGCTGTGTAAGCCCTAAGTAACAAAACTGTCTCTTGTGATTTCTCTAAAGCTACACAATTTCCGTCTATACCAGTCTTTTATGAAATGGGCTAGGGACCACTCAGGACAGAGACAAAACCAAGGTGTTAACTGGTCAGATAGCTTTTAACTGAGATAATATTGGTCAAATTGAGCCTTTTAACTTCAACAAGATTTTTTGTAAATATACCTTATCCCCACATCAGTGGAAAAAGGGAAGGCAACACGTTTCACCGTTAAGTTTTCATAAGTTTCCATCCCAGCCCTTTTGCACTGTCTGTACCGTACGCAGTGTTGTGACCACACTGTAATTGTGCAGGGCTAAACAAGTTGGAAGCTGGTGAGCTCAGGAGCCCGTGTAGCCATGCCGCTGCACTGGCATTGCAAGGAGTCGGCAGCACAGATATATCCTGTTCGCATCCAAAACATCTATAGCGCTGATGAGCTTGCAAGGCTTGACCAGGCTTTAGCCCCTTTCAGTGGGAATGTATGTTGTAACTTATGCTTCCATCTAACCCTTTCCTAAATCAAGGCAGACTAAAATGTGATTAATAAGGAAAAGCCTTTACCTAAAGGCCAGACAGCTATAGGGCAGGAACAACAGCTGGTTATGCTGGGATTTTCCCCCGCAATCCCACTGTAAAGTGGAATGTAATCCACATTGCCAAAACCCATCAACTGGAGTTGTAATTTTGAGAAACAAAACCAAAAGAGCTGTGTCATACAGCTGAACAATCTCCTTGAGGTGCAGATCTGCTAGCTGGACACAAACCAGTGCAGACATTTTGCCATGCGAAAGTATGTACTCACTCCTAACACATGCGCCTTGGCCCAGGATATAGGTGAGAAAGACATGAGAGCCAGTGCTTTGAAACTGATCTTAATAAACCAGATGAGCTGCTGCTAGTTAATGATGAAGATATTTAACTGTTGGAATAACTTACCTAGCAGTTGTGCCATGGCCGTTTATGTTCTGAAATCTTTAACTCTAAATTGGATGCCTTTCAAAAGAAGGTGCTTTGGCTGAGCTGCCAGTCTTTGGGCTTCATGCAGGCACACAAAAATGTCCTGGCCTGTACTGGATATGAGGTCAGACCAGCTCAAGGATGGACAGTTCCTCTATTTTGCTCTTCTTCAGATGTTCCGCTCTCTAAGCCACGACACTGCACCTCACAGAGAGGTCCTGGCATGGCTTGGTGACTTTCCCTGGCACATGCATTGGTCCCCACCATACAGCTGGCGTGCTGACTGGTCAGCCTCCCCACCATTCATGGAGAGCTCCCATACAGTTACCGATTGGTCATCTGAGAGTAGATGATCATCATGATCCCTTCTGACCTCTGGCACCTTGGGAACCCTCGAAGAGCATTTTCATCCTATTGTCCAAGGAGTTCCCAGAGATGGGCATCTGTAGCAGCATAAACGGTGGTGTGGAAAGAGGCTTGTGATGAGCCTAGTCCATTTGTCAGGAGTCTTCCTGTGTCTCTTGGCCAACATTGGCAGAAGTTGAGCTTGTTTAAAAAAGTGTTAAGAATGCAGCAGTGGCAACTCCACTAACAGCAAGCAGCTGTTCTGGTGATGCCCTCCAGAGATGTGGCTCCTGCAATCTGAGCTGCTCCCTTTTTCCACACACAAGTGATTTCCCAAAATATTTATCATGGTTTTGATCTTTGCCTGAAACTGAATTTTCATTCTATGACTGGAATAAAATTGCTCTGGATTTGGAAAGAGAAAGGCACTTTTCACTCACCAGATGAGGGTGTGCACATGTAAAATGTTGGTACGTCTTTCCCTTCAGTTTGGTTGGACAGAAATATACACCTAAAAATTTAAATCTAAAAGCCTTATTTAAACATTAATGTCTTACAATGGGTGTAATATGCCTACATGAATGCAGTAACAAGTTGTAATATTTTCATGAACTTGAATAGATTGTAAATTGACAACTTCTTGCAATATAAAAAGACCTTGCAGTTGTGTCTTAAATGTCATGAAGTGGGATTAAAGCTGAATTTTT